GGCAGTGACTCACTGCTTGTTTTCTGCAGTATTTATTGCTCATGTAGGAGCTGACAGCTCTGCTCATCACCTTCTCACCATCCAAGGTGAGCTGCGATGAAAATAACTGGAATTTCACATTTTAATTGCAGAGATGTGGTGGCCCCAGACACTCACATGGTGGGGATTTGTACCGTGGAAAGCCAGGGATCACAACAGCTGGGTAAGTTTGGCTCTGGAAGGGGATCAGAACCCCTGGATATGTTTGGCTCCAATACACAGGTCAGGGGAGTGACACTGGATTTGTGACAGACCAGCTCAGACATGAGTCCACCACCATTCTGCACACAAAAATTCGTGTTTCTTTCCAAGCAGGGATTCACAGTGTGCTGCTCCATCTCAAACGAACCCTGTCAGTTCTTAAGAAATCAAAATTCTCTCTAAATTTTTTTGAAATACCACTTGTGGGAATAGCAACAACCCCCCAAGGGCATTACTCGAGTGTGGCAAGACCGTTTAATTCAACTAAGGAAAAAAAAACCAACACAATTCGAACAGGGTTTTGCATTTCCCCTGCACAGTTGTGTCACTAGATGGCCTTCCAGACCCAATGCAAACACCACCGCGCTCCGCAGCTCGGGCAAGGGAGACCCTGCTTTGTGCAGAGGGCAAACAAAAAGCTAGAAAAGGATATTTCGGCAACAGAGAAGAGAAGCGACCAGTAAATACCCAACAAAGTGTCATATAATTCAAATTACAATAATAAAAAGGCAGTCAAAGCCACACCCATTTAAAACTCACCATTTTACTGAGGAAAAAGTTGATGCAATCATGTAGGTTCTGTCAAAAAGATGCTTTATGGACCACAGTGTTATAAATCTTATATGGAACACAGTAAAAGCCATCAGCTCCTGTCGGCTGTAATGGCTGAGGGCTTTTTGACGGCACAGGAATGGATGGGCCAGGGAAAATTTGTTTTGTCCTGAAATGATTTATTTGGACCCGGCTCAAAACCAGCATCACATTATGCATGACACAATCAGCAGATAGAGTTAGTAGTCTTTCTGTAACTGAGGGGTGTAATTCAGGGTTGGTTTTTTCCAAGTCCATTATTGCAATAAAAGGGGTTTTTTGGGGATAAAAGTAATTTGAGGGCCATTGTTAGGCTTTTTTTGAATTTGGGTGCTTTTTTTTTTCTCAAGTCTCACAAAACAATCTTTACATTTCTCACAGCTTTGTTTCTTTTTCCATTTTATTGCTAAGGAAACTTTGAGATCTGTACACATTTAGATTCAGTAGGAAACAATATAAAATGAGCAGATGATAAAATCAACTGTAAACACTCCAAAGACTGTTTTTAAGTAATGGATAAGTATTTGTAACAAGTCAACTTCTTACTGATGAAATATAACATTTTTAATTATCAAGTGTGCAGTGCTTTGGGCATATCAAGTCCTGTGCAAAAGCTACACGTAATTTGCTGACTCCGAAAAAGCAAAGTCTAATTAGGAGTTGTGCCACTGATTTAAATGGAAGGAGATTCAGCCTCCTATTAGTAAAACTCAAATCTAATCATTATTAATTGCAAGTGTCCTTCTCCCACTTCTGTTTCGGCCTGTATATTGATTTTGGCACAAGTTGTTTCATCAAAACCTTACACAATATGTGTGTGTGGAGATTCACAGAGAGCACAACAAAATCAAGGCTTTAATGGAGTATGGCAAATATCCATGTTCTGATCTTGGTACCAATTTGTTGCTTGATGGTTGCCAAGGAAAAAATTAGGAAGGAGTGAAAGGTTAGCACACGGCTTAGAAAACTGCTGGGAGTTCATGATTTTCAAGATTTTTTTAGATGGTATCGATGGGTAGTTCAGGTTAGTTATGAGAACACCCAAAAAAGACTCACAGATTAGGTTTAATATTGAAGCTTTTTTACAAAACAGGGTGATCAAAGAAGTTGATAATCTCATTTTTCAAAGTACCAAGCCTGGGGAAAAAGCGCTTGCAACCTCCTGGACCGTTCTGGTACCATGGAAGAACCTCAGCCATGCCCTTAGTCTGACCTAAGGAAACAGCACCAATGCCCTGTGCTGCCTCCTTCTTTATCCCTTGTGATGTGCTTGAAGAAGTGGAGGAAACTGAGACTTAATAATACTAAAAGCTCGTGAGTTTTGTGACTACAGAGAGTCAAGTGAGGGAGTAGAATCATAAATGTAAGCCTTTCTGCTCAAAAAATACTTTTAAATTATAAATATCTTAACAACAAATATGTTAAATAATGAATATTGGCAAAATATTCTGGTTAGCTACATCCTTCTGTTTAGAGGAACTCTGAATACTGTAAAAGTTTTAAGTTTCCAATCAGTTAAGCTCCAGCACAGTGCAAGCCCTTAGGCTAAGCAGCATGGTTTGCAGTAATATTTCTAATGCAAAATACAAGTATTTTAGCTCACCAGCAAGGTCTCACTTATGGTAGTTTTTGCAGCCACAGTTGCAGAGAGGGGTTTGCATGTACCATCTCCTGCATACTCTTATTTGGTCATATAAACTGGACAAGAATGGGCACCTGTTCTTCCTAAGTATCTTTAGAACTATGTTTTTGAAATACATTTAATTTTTTCTTGATAACACAGACCCCAGTCACAAAGACCTCAACATAAACTTGACAAGAAGAACAAGCAGCCCCATTTATGTCCAAGGAAATATTCATAAACTTAGTTAAGAATGTAAATAACAAGACAGAGCCTGAAATATTTATTTTTTAACATTACCAGTGATATTAATTATTTGTGTTTTCAGCTAAGAATTCCCACTGCAGCATGTACACAAAGAGCAAGAGGCAACGCCTTGAAAAATTTACAGTAGGAAAGACAGACCCTAAGGAATGGGACTTACCATGTAAGTAGAGTGATAAATTTCAGATGCTGCACAAGGCCAGCAATTGTTTGTCATGTGCACAGACCCTTATTGAGGGACAGTCTCTGCCCCACAGGATTTAGACTGGGCAGGGCAGAGAGGGAAGGGGAAACTGTAATGTGGGAGAGCTGAGCTGCAGCTGCACACACAAAGTTATGGTGACAGTCTCAGTGTAAGAGAAGGCCACGACACAGCAGGTGTACACTCCAGGTGATTCACTTTGTTTACAGAACAAATGTACAAAATTGTTTTTCAGCTGTGCTTTTCCTCGCAGTGCCAGCACTGCTTTGACCCTCAGTAAACCCTGGAAATACAGTTTTCAGAATCAAAGCTCCCAGTCTCCTTCACTTTCAGCTGCTTCTCCGTCTCCATTTCTGCAGTTTCTTGCTGTTTCTCTCGCACATGCAGAGCTCTACCATCTGGTCCTCACGGCCTGAGATTTTACACACACGCCCCCACCCCGAAAAATCCCTTGGGCCACATGATTCACCATCTATTCAAACCTTGCCATGTGCCTGGTTTTTTTTTGTGTAGTAGACCCTACTGATGTAAATCCCTTGTTCCATAAGGGCTCTCAATTGCTTTTTTCACTGAAGGCAAGGTGGCTGTGACACCTGCCAGTTTCTAAGACATTTAACCCAACCTAAAACATTATTACATTGTTGTTTGGCTGAGTAGGAACCATATTTTTTTCCCAGTGGGAAGTGCTGCCAGAAAGGCATTAACTTTCTAGACTATTAAGTAATTTGGAAAAATGATATTTCAATAAGAAAATTTCCTTTCTGCCTTTTTATGCCTCAGAAATAGTTCCTGTTTCACTTGGCTCAAGTAGCCTGTGCACTAAATCAGTGCAAAAATCTTTCAATAAACTAAATAAAATCTGTCCAAATGCTACCAGAGAGTTCAGAGGGCTGTGAAACAGAACAGGACAAGGGTCTGCAAAGGGAGGTGTGAGCTGAATTAAGACACACAACTCAGCAAAATCAGGCAGTGAATATTCAGGCACTTTGATGTAGTTTGGACAGATTTTATTCATAAACCACACACTGATGACTACCTAGAGAGCAGCTACTTATAAGGAACACAGACTGTTTCTTGGGTTGTTTTCTCTGGTATGCTTTAAATCAGAGGTGCCAACTATGTGGGCCAAACATGGCCTACCTGATACAGGCATGGCCAAAACACTGCCTTTAGAATCTCACCTTTCATTTGAAACTGAGTTCTTGGCTTTGCAGCTGTGGGGGA